GTCACTCAAGGAGGGGCAGATGCAGCACATATGTAGGCGACGAGTGGGCCGAAGTGAACAATTCCCAAAACGTGGCTGACTTAACGAATGAATTGACGCAACTCGCACAAAGACACCAAGGCAAACCAGCCGTTTCCGCGAAAAGTGTAACCGGCCCTTACGCGCGTTGGTCGGATGCACGCTGCACGCTGGATTGCCGTAGACCTTACCAGACGCGGCACCTTCACAACGTCACGCGTGCACACCATTGGCCTCTTAATCCACCAAGATCGCCAGGGCCCAGCTCGAAAGAGCTTACCGGGTCGGTATTTTGTGCCATTGGAGTTTGGGCGCGGCGACGTCACATGGAACATTGCTTGGACTGAATCACGATGCACTTTTTTTATCTTGCAACTACGAAAGGATGCTTCCCCGCTTCCCAAGATAGACGGTTGCTTCAGCGTGATAGGCTGCTTCGATGCGCTAGTTCTAGACTTTATCAAACCCTGAAGGTCAGCCATGCTCCCCACCACCACCTACTCTGATTAGCGAGATACTACTGCAGGGCTTCAAGGTTCTCACCATCGATCCAGAACACAGGAAGCAAGACACGACATCAAGCCTGAACACATCTTACAGAGCCCCGCCTGTTGAGTAATTCGCTTAACGACTGCAGTAAACCATCACGCCAAAAAATACACAAGACCGGGAGCGCATCCCACCTCCAATCACAGAGATCGCGAAAATGGCTGGCACCGGCAAGACCTTTGTGGTGGAACATCTGGACCCTGAGCTCGAGGAATGGTCATCTCTTGAGTACTCCAGTATCGCGGCGGAGTCACATGCATCGGGCGCACAGTTCTTGCTGTCTTCAGTGCCGGCTTCGTTGAAGCTACCAGCCAACCTACAGGGCGCGAAGGGACTCAATGTCGAGACAAGAGGTATCGAAGAAATCTATGCCGACAAGAAAGACAAGGTGTGCCTGCTGGATCCTGCCGCAGCCAAAGACTTGAGCCCGGAAGATGGCGAGACTTTCGATATCTTTTTGTTCGGCGGTATACTTGGTAAGCATCCGCGCTCACCCAGAGAAGAAATGCGATGGAAAGAGCTAACTCTTGATTAGGAGACGACCCACCACGAGGTGTGTAATACTGTCATCATTGTTTTGAATGTGCACAGTTGACTGACTTACTCATAGACCGCACTTCGGAGCTGCGCAAGAAAGGATATCAAGGACGTCGCCTGGGACCAGTACAGATGACGACTGACACAGCAGTACGTGTCACGAGGATTTGCGTGCAAGACAAGGGTATGCCAAACAATTCAGACGCTGATGCATGTTGCTGACGAGGCGCAGTACCCGTCGACAAGATCCCGTACATCGACCATCCTGATCTCAAGATCAACAAGAACGAGAGCACGCAAATGCCGTTCCGCTACGTCAAGGACGGCAACGGGGAACCTATCATGCCCAAAGTAAGCGTATCCGACGTTGCCATACCTCTATACGCGATATTAATCGGATGCACAGGGAATGCGTGAGCTGATCGTCAAAGACTCAGCCAAGAGCCTGAACGATCTCTTCTGAACACAGGCTGCCTTCGCATCTCGGGCGCGCATATTCGCGTACCAACAGCACGGAAGATGAGCATGCGCCACTGTGGCACACAGTCATCAACGATCATTGACATGTACCGCTTGCGGGAATTCCAAAAAAGCATTTCGAGGATTAGAAAGGGGTCCGCGGTGTAGTACTAGGCGGGACTCTAGCTCTCTGTCGGGGCATCGACCAGACGGACCGAATCGAGTGCTGTGGTGCTCTAGAACGCCTTTCATGTTGGCGCGGAATGACGGCATAACGAGTTGGTGCTAAAGGATAGTAGTCTACGTAGTCCAAAGAGTTATTGTCAGCCCGGCGAACCTTGGGATGTGAGATTGACAACTGCATGCGAACATCGGCGGCTAGGGACGCGTGTACACTTTATTTGGGGTTCGCATTCGGAAGATTTGCGGCCTGAGGACGGAGCTGACACATGTGTGAAGCATGAGTGAACGCTGCATCGTGTCAGATGCTGGGGCGCGATGCGCGTTCTCGAGACGCGGAGATGGCAGTAGCCGGAATGGGCACTGTGGCGTGTGATTGGCCGTGGGACGAAGCTTGGACGGTACCCCAAAGATGTACCTCAACAGGCATCTCGCTATAATATTGATATCAGTTAACTTTCTTCGCTCGTTCTCGACTGTTGAATGAACAAGACCATTCGTTGAAATTGCAATCCCCCTTGTGGATCGCTCGCGTGTCTTGCGTCTCACGATCTACATTGACAGGCCCCTGTTCTGGATCCCAACTCGGACTCGTCAGCCGCCGCCGCAGTAGCCACCTAAGCTGTACTCTGGAGTCCGATCTTCTCGCATCTCAGCGCCTATACCCTACACTGTGCCAGGCTGCGCATTCACCTATCACTACTCTGTCTGCACTCGCTGTGCCCTATTTCCCTTCACTTCCCATGATATAGCGACTGCGCACCGCAACCTCCGCGGCCTCAACTCCGAAACGCGGCCTCACTATGGCCTCCTCACATTTTCCGCTGCGATGGCGGACGGCGCTCCTGGGTGGCCTCCTGGCGACGGTATCATGGCTACCGAGCATAATGGCGCAGGAGAAGACGCAGGCCGACTACTTCATACACGACCTGCCCGGTGCGCCGAAGCCGTTGCTTAAGATGCACGCAGGGTAAGTAGACTGGGAGAGGCTTGCGCACACATATGGCCGTACTAACTCCATGAAATAGACACATCGAAGTCGATGCAGAGAACAACGGCAACCTCTTTTTCTGGCACTACGAGAACCGCCACATCGCGGACAAACAGCGCACTGTACTATGGCTGAACGGCGGGCCGGGCTGCTCCTCGATGGACGGCGCCATGATGGAAGTCGGCCCATACAGAGTGCGCGAAGGCGGTAATCTCGAATACAACAACGGTTCATGGGACGAGTTCGCAAACCTGCTCTTCGTGGACCAGCCCGTCGGCACTGGCTTCAGCTATGTCAACACCAACAGCTACCTCACGGAACTCGACCAAATGGCCGACCACATGATTATCTTCTTGGAGAAGTGGTTTGCGCTATTTCCCGAATACGAGCATGACGATGTGAGTGGCTTGACTAAGTGGACCCGCGGCATACTGACATATGGTAGTTCTACATTGCCGGTGAATCGTACGCTGGACAGCATATTCCCTACATCGCTCGCGCTATCCTCAAACGAAACAAAGAAAACCTTTCCAAAACACCATGGGCACTCAAGGGTCTCATGATCGGAAACGGATGGATATCACCAGTCGATCAGTATCTCGCCTATATACCCTTTGCCTACCAGAATGGACTCATGCGGGCCGACACCGACTCGGCAAGACGCGTCGAAGAGCAACAGAGGATATGTGTCAAAAAGCTCGAAGAAGGCGGCATGAACACCGTCGACACCAGCGAGTGTGAGCAAATCATGGTCAGGATTCTGGAAGAAACGAAGAACAAGAAAGCCGACACGATGAACCAGTGTCTCAACATGTACGACATCCGTCTCCGTGACGACTCATCCTGTGGAATGAACTGGCCCCCGGATCTTGCGCAGGTCACTCCCTACCTCCGCCGCCCAGATGTCATTCAGGCTCTCCACATCAACCCCGACAAGAAGACCGGCTGGCAGGAGTGCAACGGGGCTGTTTCTGGCCATTTCCGTGCCAGGAAGAGCGAGCCTGCTGTCAAGTTTCTACCCGAACTCATCGAGCAGGTTCCAACTCTCCTGTTCTCTGGTGACAAGGACTTCATTTGTAACCACGTTGGCACAGAGGCCATGATCGGCAACATGAAGTGGAACGGCGGAAAGGGTTTCGAAGCATCCCCTGGTGTGCAGAACGCAAAGCAGGACTGGATGTTCGAAGGCGAAGCAGCTGGAACATGGCAGGAAGCACGTAACCTCACATATGTTGTCTTCTACAACTCCAGCCACATGGTTCCTTTCGATTACCCCAGGCGCACTCGGGACATGCTCGATCGCTTCATGGGCGTGAACATTGAGGCTATCGGTGGTGCTCCTGCTGACAGCCTCATCGATGGCGAGAAGGGTCCGCTGACGAGCGTTGGCGACCACCCCAACTCGACGCAAGCCGAAGAAGACAAGACCAAGGAGCTCAAGGCAGCAGAGTGGAAGGCGTACGCCCGCTCCGGCCAGGTCGCGCTTGTCGTTGTCATCATCGTCGCCTGCCTCTGCGGCTTCTTGTGGTGGCGCAGCAGGCGCACAACCAGCGCATACAAGAGCACTGACAATGACGAAGGACGCGAGTCTCTCCTCACTGGGATGGGCCTCGACAACTTCCGGAGGAAAGAACGCAGGCAGGATCTTGAAGCTGCCGACTTCGACGAACGGGAGCTCGATGATCTCGACGAAGTGCCAAAGAAGCCAGGAAATGGCTATGCGAGCGTGGGCTCGGAGAAGGGCCGAGAGTCGCACAATGACTCCACGTTCTCTTTGGGCGTTGATAGTGATGATGAGGAGGCTAGCTCGAGCGATCGGGGCAGGAGAAAGGAAGCTTCGTGATAGATTGGGATGTTTGTAACGGCGCTTCACAAATATACTAGGATAGGATTATAGCATTGCAGGCGTATTGGGTGCCAAATTATATCACTTTGTCTTGCCAGCATACCTATACTTGGTACATGATGGTTGGATCATTGTGACGCGCATACCTAGTTATTGCCCTTTCTCACGTGGACCTCCATATACTGAGTATATGGAGGCTTCCATTTATTTGGGTATGTGGAGACTTCAGGCAGCGGAAGCCTGGTTGAGGTCTGCTCGTGCTGCACTCGAGTGTGGGTCTGGTCGATGCTGCCTTGGGAGCACGTGAGTGCGGGACTAGCGCGACCGCGTTCCTGCCGTCCCAAGGCGCGTCATCTTCAGCCACGACGCCTCGACTTCAGCAAAGCGGCGACCCATGCCCACCACATCGTAACAACAACCATGCCTGCGTACGTACAGAATTTCTACGCGTTCCTCACGCACCCTTTTCCGACATCAACAAAGTCCGCTAACAAGGATGCAGGCCAGGCGACCAATACAACGGCGGCCACGTCAAGAACCCCTTCGAAGAACGCGTCGTAAACGGCTTCACAGCAAAGGAAATCGCGACATTACAGAGTCGGCTGAACAAACAACTCGGTCCGGAATACATATCGCAACGGCCAGGTAATGGCGGTGGTAAGGTGGCGTACCTGGAGGGGAACAAGGCGATAGCGCTTGCGAACGAAGTCTTCGGGTTCAATGGCTGGTCAAGCTCGCTGGGGCAGGTGCAGATTGATTACGTATGTTTTGGTCTGTCTGAGAGGCAAATGCATACTGACAAAGACAGGTCGACGAGCATCAAAACGGCAAGGTCAGCTTGGGTCTCTCGATAGTAGTGAGGATCACGCTGAAGGATGGCACATATCACGAGGTAATGAGGTTGCTCTTTACATCTTGCCCTTGCTAATAACGTGTTAGGACATTGGCTACGGCTCAATAGAGAACGGCAAAGGCAAAGCGGCATCATTCGAAAAGGCCAAGAAAGAGGCGGCAACAGATGGCTTGAAGCGCTCATTACGCACGTTCGGCAATGTGCTCGGCAACTGCTTATACGACAAAGAGTATCTCAAGAAGGTCCAGGTTATGAAGGTCAAACCCATCAAATTCCAGGAGGACAACCTCTACCGACACAACGATTTCAAACCGCCACCCCAACCTGAGGAGCAAGCTGTAGTCAAGCAGGAGCCGCACAAGACACCGGTTCGACCCAACCAGGTCCTTCGTACGCGTACAGATCACCTGAACAACGAGTCGTTCGGGGCTGATTTTGACGACGATGCGGACGAGAACTTGTTCGATGGAGTTGATGTCTCCGAGGGCCATGGGGACGAGTTCTCATTGTCAGAGACATTGTCCGCTCCGGAGACGGCAGCGCCGCGCGCTATCCAGCCAGCGAAACCAAATGGTGTATCTTCTGGTCGCACCTCACCAGTTCGCAACACAGGACCCCCTCGGCAGCCCAACGGCAGACCTCCACAAGCCGGACGTGGCCAACCTGGTGTGCAACAACAGCAACCAAACCAGGCACCCGGTAGACCTGCCCCTCACATGCAGAACGGAAGACAGCCACAAACTCTTGTTCAACAGCAGCCTCGACCGGTGCAGAATGGCGGTCGCATGGCCCCACCAGCAATAGACAACGGTGCTGCCTCGAGACCCGTAGCACAGCAGCCCCAGAACCAACAAGCCGCTCCTAACAACCAATCTCTCCGACCAACCCCACCCCGAGAACAACCATCGAACCAAGCACGACCAGTACCACAAGCCCAAGATACGACCACACCCGCTCAAAACGCACCTCCGCCCAACCACCGACCCCCCGTAGGCTTCGTAACCTCCCGCGCCGCCGAGCTCCTTCAAGCCTCAGACTCCGCCTCCCTAACCAACCTCCCCTCCTTCAATCCCAACGCCGACTCGCCCATACCGAAAGAAAAACGCACCCCAGGTGTCGACCACGGGGCCAGCAAACCTATCAAACGCGACGCCGTCGGCGCACCACCCGCCCCCCAACCACCACCCCAGCGACCAGGCGTCACATCAAACGGCTCCTTCAACCGCCCCAACGTCGTAAACCCACACATGCAAGCTGATCGCCGCATTGGCATGCCCGGCGCGCCAAACTACGCCATGAGTCCTAGTGCGAATCGTGGCCAGTACAAGCCGCCTACCTTCAACGGTGCGGGGCCTGGTAATGGTAACCCTGCTGCTGGTCCTGGTGCTGGTGGCCCTGGGGGTGTTAAGCGTGAAAGAGCTGCGTTGCAGGATGTTAGCAATGTGGGTGTTAATGGGAATGGGGGCGTGGGGAGTGAGGGGCCAGAGGCGAAGAAACAGAGGGTTGATGCGCCGCCGGGGGTGGAGAATGGCGGTGTTGTTGGTACGTGAGGTATTAGTGTGCTTTCCATGGGCTGCTTTCGTACTGCTGTGTTAGTGGGCAGGGCGTTATTCTGGTGGTAAGGCGAGGGTGTTTTGGCGTTATGAAAAGGGTGATGAGACGGTTATGTTTTAGCGGGGATATGTCTTTCGGGATTATCATTTCTTGGGAGTGGATAGTGTAAATGAGCGTTTCTGTCGTGAGAAGAGTTGAGGAATCTGATACATTGATACCAACCATTACAGGGACATGATCGTGTTCAAGGTTGCCGCCCCTTAGGCTTTATTTGAATCGTACCCGTACAGATATGATTTGACTCTGCGCGGAAGCATCATAACTAAGAAAAAAGTTTGAGAGTCATTGCCTTCATTAGTCTCGACGATACCATCACACACATCTCCATACTCAGCTTCCAGCTATCCTACCCAGTATCCCTCGACACCCCTTGCATGTCACACGCTTTCTCTGCATCTCATCCTCCTTCGAGCTTCGAGCTTAGCGGCAGAGCACTCACATCCCCTCTCTTCTTCAACACCTGTCGGTATCGAGCCTTCCCACTCAACCAGCAGCCTCACGGTAAAAGCTAATCGAGTTATTCCCGCCCGCCAACGCAAACATCTCACTCTTGCCCGCCGCTTTCGGCAACCACTTTGCGCTCCAGAGCGGTTTATCGCCGTGGGAATGCGTGGCTACGCAGGATCGCGTTTCTATGCGCCAGACTTTTGCTTTGGAGTCGTGGGATCTATTCGTACACAGAAATGTTAGTAAGATGTCTTGCAAACCTTCGAAGCCGCGTTGATGGCATGGTGGTCGGGTGTTGGGATGGGTATGGGTATGGGGATGGAGGACGACTTACCCACTCAGCAGATACTCGCCTGTGTCACTCCAATCCAGACTTAATACCCACCCGCCGTGGCCAGTGAAGTTTGCGACTTGCTCCCCGGATGTGACGTCGTAGAGAGCAATGATGCGTGCGTCACCGCCTGCTGCTAGTAGTTTTGAGGCGGGGGAGAAGGATACGGCGCGAACTGGGTGGACGAGGCCAGAGAGGGAGTGTGCGAGGCGCCCGGTTTCGTTGTTGAAGACGTAGATGGAGCCGTTTTCGTGGCCGGAGGCTGTGTACGTGCCGTTGCGGGACTGTGAGTGGGTAGGTTAGCAGGAGAGTAGGGGTTGACGGGGTGGGAGGGGAGAAGGGAGGGAGCGCGTACCAAATCTACAGATAAACCGAAGCTGCCTTTTGTTTCGTACTCGCGTATCCGGGGCATACCCTCATCTTTGTTGAGGCTCCAGACGTTGATCTTGCCGTTGATGCTGGTGCTGGCTAGGTACTGGCCATCTGCACTCAGCGCAATGGCCCATATCTCACCTGGCTTGTTCTGGTCTGTTTAAGCTGTCAGCTCCTTCCCTCCTTCAACAACACCACTTCCTGCGATCCCAAAGAAAGCATGGAGGCGTACCCACCAACAATCTCCCCGTCCTCACTCCACAAGCCATCCTCATCTTGACTCCATATCTTGACTTTGCCTTCGAAGCCTGCGCTCGCCGCCCGTCGTGCCTTCTCTTCACGTGCGGTTACTAGGTGGTGTATGCCGAGTGGATGCGCCTTGTCGAGTGTTTGTATTACGGGGAATTCGGCTTGTGTGGTGTCGTAGACGTTGACGCTGCTTGAACCCGAGGCGGAGAGGAGTTGGGTGCTGGTTGGCGCTACGGCGAAGATGTCGCTTGCTTTGGGATGCGCCGAGTCGACTGTGTGGAGGGTGAGGTATTGTTTCGACTGGAGGTTGTTAGAATGGTGTTGCGAGTAGTACAGAAGGGTGCATACCATGGTGACTTATCTGCAGCTCTGAAGACTTGCTTTCCGGGCGCGATTATCGTGACATGCGCGGAGTTCGGAGCTGAGAGCTAATTTCCAGCTCGATGTCGTCAGTACGGGCAACACGAAAACGCGCCGCCATCCCACTTGAGCCCCACCAAACACCAACGAGGACCCCTAGCTTGACCGCCAATCACACCCCGCTGCGCCCGACAGCTCCCCATCCACGACTAGGCATGCCATTGACTCTCTCGCGGATCTCCAGGAACCTGTTGAAAGAGTCACGGACCGGTTGCCTAAAGCTACCCTCCCATCTACGCCTGACTCACTCCTCGTTGTCATCCCTCCACACAAAACCCACGTTCACAACACTCCCCATCCGCACCTTCACCACCCACCCCTCCACCATGGCGCCCACCGATCCCGTCCCCGCCTCCAAAGACGCCCTCTCCGCCAACCAACCCATCGTCATCTCCGGGCCCTCTGGCGCCGGCAAATCCACCATCCTGAAGCGCCTCTTCGACGAGTTCCCCGGCAAATTCGGCTTCAGCATATCGCACACCACGCGCGGGCCCAGGGGAGAGGAGCAAGATGGCAAGGAATACTACTTCGTAACCAAAGAAGAGTTTTTGGATTTGGTAGAGAAGAAAGGATTTGTGGAGCATGCGCAGTTTGGTGGGAACCACTATGGTACGAGTGTCAAGGCTGTGAACGACATTGCCGAGAAGGGCCAGATTTGTATTTTGGATATTGAAATGGAGGTAAGTCTTTGCCCACTGTTTGGTACAAAGCGCATCTTTGCTGACAGTGTTGATTGTAGGGCGTTAAGCAAGTCGCAAACCACCCTACGTTCCCTCGCCCAAGGTTCTTGTTCTTGCAGCCACCGTCTATGGAGATTCTGGAGAAGCGGTTGAGGAGTCGCGCGACGGATAAGGAGGAGGCTATCTTGAAGAGACTCAACCAGGCCAAGGTCGAGATGGAGTTTGCGCATAGTGGACAGGCGCCGCATGACAAGATTGTGATCAACGACGATTTGGATAAGGCGTACAAGGAGGTTAAGGAGTTTGTTGTTGGCAGCGAGGCATAAAAAGCTTCACAGATGATACCACAAGAACGAGTCAAGAATGCGAAGAGATGCAAAAAGTGTTATGATATTTTTTTCTTCAATTCATGACTACCTAAGCCATAAGGTTCATCAGATACCGTCGTAGAAAATTCAGCAAAGGCCGTGATACCACTTTGGGATTACACAGCCTCAGAGCTTGACTCTATTTCCATTTGTCTCATCATGTGAACCGTGTATGGCTGGATGAATCTGGCTTGTTCGACCAAGCGCGTAGTAGCCCGTCAACTCCAACCGTTGTCAGAGAGCGTCTACCCTCAGATCCGAAAAGTGTGTGGGTGAATGAACGTTCCTCGCCTCAAGAATAAGCCCCATTGAGTTACCATCCGTGACACCTTGTTTGACCAAAGTGCAGGAAGGCAATCGCATAACCATAAACTGGACGAGAAGACCCTCCATACCTGGCGCTTCCCGGTGTCTCCCCCCTCCTCCCAGTATTGCAGCGAACCTCAGCACGTGAGCAAGGAAGCCAACGGACTCATATCATCATCCAGGTGTCAGCCCCTCCACCCACGGCCTCGGAAAGCCAACCAAAAGGGAGTGCGAACGGGTAAGGAGACGCGGAAAGAGTCGTAGTCGGTAGTGGAAGCCGCGGCTTCTATGGCGGTTCGTTGCTGAAAGTGCGATCGCGAAAGATCGTTGTCCGGGGACTTTCTCCCAAAGCGCGAGACGAGACACCCGTGCGGGCGCTCTGTGCGTAAGCTTCGTTGCGATTCTTCGAGCGAGGAACGTTGGAGGAAGGAAGAGGTGGGTGACGGAAACTTTTTAATATGCGGCGGAGGCCGGGGGCCGAGCTAGGCGCGCTAGGTAGAAGCGGACTGGCGCCTGCAAGGGTGCCTGGAGAGCTTTGGTGCATCGCCTGTTTCTTTGCTGAGCGCGTCGTCGGTGAAGAACATAAAGTCATCTGGTCTCCTGCGCGCGTAGCCACCCTATTCACTGCTGCCGGTCTCGAATCACCTCCACGTGACTGGAAACTTCCATACGAGCGCGTGCGAATTACTTTCTCGTCTAAGCTTGGGATCAACACCGCAACCTCGCGCAAAGCTTCGCAACAACCAACACCCGCACTTCGAACGCGCCCAGATACAGGGACGTAATCACAAGAGATGGCTCTTTTCGGTCAGGCCGCACCGGCCGCATCTGCTAGCTCCACCACCGGCGACACCAGCAAAGACGTCGAAGTCCCGGCCGGCCAAGTGCCCAGCGACAGCATATCTGACCTCCAATTCTCGCCGACGAACGACTTCCTCGCCGTGGGCAGCTGGGACAAGAAGGTCTACATCTACGAGGTCAACGGCAATGGCGCGCAAGGAAAGTGGATATTCGAATGCCAGGGTCATGTTCTGGGTCTCGGATGGTCAAAGGTACGTTTAGCAACATGTTTGGCAATCATGTCCGAATACTAACATAATCAGGATGGCACTCGTATAGCAGCCGGCGACTCAACAGGCATGCTCAACATCGTCGACTTCCGCACTGCCCCCGCCAGCGGTACCGTCCCTGCGCAACAAGCCAAGGCCCACGAGAACGGCATCAAGTGCGTCCGCTGGTTCCAGACCGGCGGCAAGGACTACGTCGCGACTGGTTCCTGGGACAAGACCGTCAAGTTCTGGGACCTCCAGGGTGCCGAGCCCGTCGGTACTCTGACGTGCCAGGAGCGCGTCTACAGCATGGACATCAAGGATCAATTGCTTGTCATCGCAACCGCCGAGCGCCACATCCACATGGTCAACCTCTCGAACCCCACAACCATCTACAAGACCATCACCAGTCCTCTCAAGTGGCAGACAAGGGTCGTGAGCTGCTTCACAGATGCGACCGGCTTCGCCGTTGGCTCCATCGAAGGACGATGCGCTATTCAATACGTCGAAGACAAGGACACCAGGTAAGCATTTCCACGTCTACACATCCCACCACACCATCTAACTCATATCTAGTCTCAACTTCTCCTTCAAGTGCCACCGCCAGCAAGACCCCGCCAACCGCGACATCGCAAAGGTCCACTCCGTAAACGCCATCTCCTTCCACCCCCAACACGGCACCTTCTCCACCGCCGGTTCCGACGGCACCTTCCACTTCTGGGACAAGGACGCCAAGCACCGTCTCAAGGGCTACCCCGAAGTCGGCGGCAGCATCGTCGCGACGGGCTTCAGCAAGGACGGAAACATCTTTGCCTACGCCGTCAGCTACGACTGGAGCAAGGGCTACGGTGGAAACACGCAAAACTACCCCATCAAGATCAAACTTCACCCCATTCTGGGAGACGAGTGCAAGCCCAGGCCTGGAAGTAAGAAGAGGTAATCCCTGAGTAACTCGGGGATTTCCTTTTTTCTTTCTTGTTTGATTCGTTGGCACTTTCGCTGACGATGCGTGTCTGAAGAAGTGGTGACGAAAGAGAACAGAGAGGCGGCGAAAGCAGCGGGCATCGAGGCTTTGTTGGCTGCGAGTCTGCCGCCCGGAAGGCCAAGTCGGAGACTACGAGGTCTATAAGAATGGTGCATGCGTACTTTGGCTTGTACAGATCGACGTTGCTCAGCGCATGCCTGTCGACTCACTCTGCAATCGCACGATATCACGGTGTTTGATGTTTTTCTTGGTTTCCTGCATTAGCGTTAAGGGACTGGCGTATAGAGAGATATAGTACCATGGGCTGTGGAGGCTCCAGAGTAGGATAGGCAGGAAAATGTAATCTTGTTACTATATAGGTTTTGCGTTGACTGACTATAGGGTACGTTGGCATGCCATGCTCGCGTTGGCGTCTAGAAGAGTGCAGCTGTATTGATCACGCGGTTAAAACCTCAAGTTTGCGAGCAGAAACAATGGTCATCTAAACTCAAACACGCGTGATCATATCATCAGCTTTTCAGCAAACCCAGTCCTTGTAGGTAGATATAGCCTCCTCATTCTCCCCTCCATCCTGCCTCCAAGCAGTCAACTACCTACTCACCCACTCACCCCTCCCCCTTCCCTCCCATCTTCTCACGTTGCCACCGCCATGCTAACAAACCACCCAGTCACCCGGCCAAGCATCTCACAGCTCCACCTCCCTCGCTCGTCTATACCATTCCCTTGTTTCTATGTTTTCGCGCTTCCCTGCGCGTCGGGACGCAGATACACTCTATATCTCCCGGATGTCAAGTACCAGTACCAGCGATTTTCCTTACAACCATTCACCTGCCCCCTTGCGTGGGGCCCTCTAGATTGGGGGACAGACAAGCATACCACCCGCACAAGGAGACTTGCAACCTAGCCTTCAGAGAGGGAAATTTGTTTCTTGTCAGATATGTGTGGGCTGGCCTACCAATCTATTGTGTTTTGTTTTGCCACTGTTTTAGCGCGATCTTGTTTGGGGGGAAGGGGGCCGATGGCACGGGGTAGGAGGTAGGAGGTAAGTGGACCTTTTCGTTCGTGATGGGGAATGGGTGAGTGAGTGTGTACGTGGGAGGTTTCGAGGAACCTATGAATGAAGTGGTTGGAGATGGGGCGTGAGAAAAGGCTGGGATGAGGTATGTTGTCCTGCTTTGGGATCTGAGAACTTTGACAGTGAACAGGAATGGGCCATTGTTGTTGTGGAGTGGAAGAAACGAGATGGGGAGCTGTGGGAGGGAGTATCGAAGGAGAGGCTGTGGAGACAACTTTTTGAGCTGGTGATGGTGGAGCGCATGATGGGAATGAGAATAGACTGGGAACATGAGATATCTTAATCGAGCTTCGTTGCTTGCTTAAAAGGGCAGAATGCACAATGCAGCATGATCATATTGTGGCTACGCCCTTCACGTTCCAAATGTGGATGTCGTGACTCCATCGCAATCACGGTACGCAACACTCACGCCCAACATCAACAATTTACACCTGCAGTATAAGACTCGTCTACACGGCGCTCTCATTCCTTCAAATCATCTAAAATTCCCACTCCACGCCACACTCCACTTCCCAGAAACCCAACCCCTAACAACACCCAAAATGCACCTCCGCAAAATCCCCTACTCCCTCGTCTTAACCGACACCGCCGCCATAGCCGCCAACACCGACTCCTCCAACCCATCATCCCGCTCCCAACGCTTCAGCACCGCCCACCACCGTTTCTCAGAAATAACGCCTGTCGTCCCCTCAAACCCGCACTTCACGCACGAAACACCACCCTGGACACCATACGGCTACACACTCTGGCACCCGCTCATCGCAACCTCCCAAAACCTGGCTGATTACCACAGGATCCTCATCCCCAGCTTCCTGTACGAGGATTTGTTGCATTGCCACAGCGCGTGGGTATCCACATCCCGCATTCCCGTCTCCCTCCTTACCGACGTCGTCGAAACACTTCTCTGCACCAAATCAGGCAAGAAACTCGCTGCCCTCCTCGACGGAAAGCGGCAATGGTTCATCCGCCTTGATCAGATGTCTCCTAAAGACTCGCCTATGGGAGGAAAACTACCCAGTTCGACAGCCGAAGACGTCATCACGAAGATATGTTCCAGCATGCGCGCGTACGGCTGTCTGACGCGCGAGTTTGAAGATGCGAAAAAGCAAAAGAGGGAGATGGAGATTAAACTCGTGTTGAATCCGTGGGATGAGGGTATGGATCCAGCAAAGGAATTTCGCGTTTTCGTTCCGCCGCCGGCCGCGAAGACGGGACGAGAGGCCATAGCGGCGGAGTTTGAGGTTAGTGCAATTAGCCAGTATAGGTGGCCGATGGGGTTTGAAGCGCCGTGGGGGTTTGAATTGCAGCGGACTGTTGAGTTGGTTGATGTGGGGGCGGAGAAGGTGTTGGGGGATATTGTGGCGTATGCGGAGAAAGAGCTGAGTGAGGAGATCATGGGGTTGCTGTTGAGGTATGGGTTTAGTTATGATGTTGCGCTGCAGGAAGATGGGGGTGTACAGTTGGTGGAGATCAACCCTTTTGGCGCGCTGTCGGGATGTGGAGCTTGTTTGTTCAATTGGGTTTTGGATGGAAAGGTGCTGTATGGGTTGGAGGAGCCGGAGTTCACTGTGACTGTGGAGGAAGAAGGATAGGCGGCTGGTTATGTGTCTTTGTGCATTCTGCACTATGTACTGGATCTTTGCGATCTGCGGATGCTGGCGGTTGATCCAACGTCCAAAGAGACTTCTAGTTTGTTGTCATCTTCTCAGAAACGCCTGTTGCCTTTGAGCTATAGCGCTATGGTCAAATCTTGGGCTCGTCATCAGAAAGCCCTTCAATCTGCCCGTGTGTGATCCTCATTGCCCGCTCTTGCGTTTCTCTGCGCCTCATCGCTCCTGAGAAGCTCTCCAAGCGCCTTGAAGTTAACCGGCTTCGTCATGAAGTGATCAATCCCCGAACTCCATGCTTCCAACTTGGCACTCGAAGACGCTAAGCCAGTAAGTGCGACGATGGAACACCGTGGCAGATTGTTACTCCGCTCGTACTCGCGAATCGCACGTGTAGCGCTCATACCGTCCATGACCGGCATAGACATATCCATCAATATAACGTCATATTTGCGCGCACCTTCCTGGTACTTATGCAGGGCTTCTTGTCCGTTCGACGCTTGTTCGAATTGAAGGCCGTGTTTCTTCATGAACGCGACGAGCAGTCGTCGGTTCAGCATATTGTCGTCGACGATGAGGGTGTGCGATATCACAGGATCCTCTTCCTGAGGCGACGTAACCGAATGCTGCACACTTGTGGATCCAGCAGTAGAAGGAGCGACTGCTTCAGGTGACGTCAAGCTGAGAGACTCCATGGAATTCTGCATCGACTTGGTTGGTGTAGAGGGGTGTGATTGTTGTCGAGGCTGTGGCAGTGGACTAGAGACTCCGGCAGGTTGTAGGTTTTCGGCGGGATGTTCAAAACGATCCAGGCATCGGTTGAGAACCCAGGCGAGCTTGTAAGGTCCGCATGGTTGCGTGATGATCTCAACTACCGACTCACGATTGGTAACGCGGACATCGGATCGCAAAGTCGCTGCTTCGAGTGCATCCATCCCCACAAAGATGGTTACTGGGGCGCGTTGACCGTTGGGCCTCCTTTTCCGGATCGTGGCGAGGTAGTCAAAGGACAACTCCGGGCAGATGACCATGTCGGCGTCGTGACCTTCCCACTCGTGCGTCTTCACCACTTCCATCTTGAGATGTGTCTCCAAGGTATAAACCAGTGCGTTGGTGAAGCGTAACAGACCTTCGTCCGTTTTGGAGACAGTGGTGTCTTCGGTTGGTCTTTCTATCTTCTTGCGAAGAATGCATATCCTCCGACCTTCTAACCTTGGTAGATAAGACAAAAACTGCGCTCGTTCAGTCGTCATCGCACCAGGTATTTCTGGTTTGTTAAGGGCAAGTTTGACAATGATTTTAGTGCCGGTTTTCGGGTCACTGCTAACTTCAACCTTGCCGCCGTTCGTGTCGATTATCTGACGCACAATACTCATACCCAGGCCTGTACCCGGCGCGTGGGGGTTTTCCTGGGAGAATGGTTGGAAGAGGCGGTTCGCGAGAAAACTAGAACTCATGCCCGAGCCAGTGTCCGTAATGGTGAGTGTGATCGCTGCAGGCGCATCGGCGTTTTCAGCTAGCTTGTTGGATCTCAAGGAAACATGAATGTACCCCGTTTCAGTATACTTGACAGCGTTGCCAAACAAATTCATCACGATTCTTCTCCACGATCCAATTGGAAATGAAAAGACCCAATCATCATCGTAAGCCAAATCGAAAACGACAAAACGTGCTCTGCGCGGAGGAAACGAGACTGCGTGTTCATCTGTAGGCGATATAGGTGCTTCCATGAGCTTGGAGGTGGCTGGAATGTATGATGACCCAGAGAACACTGCTTCTACGACCTCTTCGGTTGCGATTCCAAAATCAAATGCGGAAATCTTTCTTCGCCGGCTCTTCACTGGCTTGGAAGATAGCCGTATTGTATTCTCGTTTTTCAGTTTCTTCGAGGAAACTATCTTCATTTCTTCGCTGATTTTGGCGTAGTCCATGACGTGGTTGATGGTATCAAGGAGCGTCGTACCGCAAGCGTGCAAAGAGTTCATCATACTGGTCTGGAATGAGTCCAACGGCGTGTCTTTGATGAACTCTAGTGTACCAAGTATTCCGTGCAAGGGCGAACGTAACTCATGTGAAATGGACGAGATGAATGTCGATTTGGCCTGTGATAATCTCTCAGCTCTTGCAAAATCGTTAGCTTAAGCGCTTACTCACCTGATCCAAGGCCGCGGCATCTAGTCGTGAGAGCTCTCTCATGATCGAGTGACTGAAAATCTTGAAATATGCCATGTCCACAGATGCGGACAGTAGCCTGTATGGATCATTACTCCAGCACAGACAGCCGGCAAACCATCTAGCCCTTTCAAAGTCCCAAAAGGGAATAAAAGCGATACTGCGTGCTTTGGGAAACATCGCCTGGATAGCAGCCGATCCCCGCTGCGGTCGGTCGTTGGTCTTGCGTTTCGATGGCGGGGCAGGTGTCAGATGTTCAGCAACCTTGGGGCTCGAAATCGATTCCTCGCTCGAGGATAAGGAACAGCCTTCAGCGTTGAAGGTAAAGATCTTGCCATGTGGATATTCGTGAAATAAGCGGGAAAGATCAGGCTCCAGCAAAGTCCCGTATTCCGACTCCTTGTCGCTCGGCGTTGCGACTCCAAGTAGCTGACACATTTTGGAACTTGACGAAGAAGTTCCGCGGGCATAACCTTCGGTACTGTTGGAGCTTGCCTCATCGCTTGAAGATCTAGATCGATACGACTCGGAGGGGGCATCAGTATCGCTTCTTGAGGCGCTGTTGCCGCGGCGCTGTCCCCCGCTTGCCGCAACGCTTGCATCTAGGATCAGCACTCCGTCCAGATCGCTTGAGCTCATCAACACATTTGCAGCACGCGAGAACATCGACTTCGAGTCCGTGGGTAAAATAGAGTCCTCTAGATTTATTCCATCGAGTCAGTGCGTGTCCCGTGCGAAGCTTGGAGAGATAGTCCTTACGAAGTGTACCGATGGACCGATGTCTATTGGATCTGGCACGGCTCGTCTTGGCCATTGTTGATGGTGATTGAACAGAAGTAGTCTGCTTCGCTTCGGCTTTATCTCGCGTATCCTTCGCTCCATCCATGTCCGTTTTGGACGCCGCGGAAGAGTAATCTGACGGTGTCTGAACGACTGCTGTCGAATCGTGCCGAACGTCTCCCTCGAAAGGAGACAGAACAGATGCGCCTTCTGCAAAGGAGACAAGCCCTCGAGTGAACCTTTCTCCTCGCCTGTACTGATCTCTGATCGTATATGTGTTCAGATAGCTCATGACCGTAAAACCCAGGTCCCTCAACAAAGAAAGTTCTTCTTTGGAAAGACCGTCTCGAACCTTGTTGTCGAAGATGCATAGCGATCCGACTGTTGCGCCGTTGGGAGACATCAACGCGACGCTAGCGTAGAAGCGCATATCGGAATTGCCTTGGACATCGTCTCGAAAACATGTCCCTTGGTTCTTCTTAAGATCGTTGATGATAAAAACTGGGTTCTCATTCCGGTCCAATTCCAGGACCTTTTCACATATGCCCCAGCTCCGCGGGATGCTCACGTTCCCAAGCCAACAGCTATTTGGGGCGTCTCCTGGTGCTTCTGGCCGCAGCGGTAAGTCACAAGTAGCCTCCGCAAGTATGTGTTGCCGTTCATCGTCGAGGAGCGATATCATGGACCGCTGGGCACCCATCCGGATAGCTGTAAGTTGACACAAGGCTGTCAGAGTCGAATCTGGGGATAAGCGGGGTACATGGTTTTCCAGATTGTCGACATGAGGAATATTGCGAAACGCCGCGCCGTAGAGGAGCAGCACATCGCGCTCTCTCCTCATCCCATAGCGGTCCGTTTTGGTCTCATCGCGGCTGTCCAAATGTTGACCCATGATGCGCAGTACCAGCGACTAAACCACGAAAGGTCGGAGGCGTCCACTAGCTTTCTCAGGCTCCATGCTTCGCCGTTGCAACAGTAGAGAGAAACAATAAATACTTGCATTCAACAAACATCAGACATCGTGAGGTATGAAGTGAAAGTTTGCATATCGCCACGCGAGACGAGCCGACTCAACACAGGCGGCCATAAGACTTGCGGGTCGGCAGGGAGCTAGCGTAGCTTTTCGCACCTGAGTGCGCTAATGCACTCTGGTACCTTCTCACTGGCCACCTGCGTGTGCCGCATTCCCATTGCATCTAGATTTGCCCTAGGGCATCTAGAAGTGTGTATGGACAATCTGCAATCTCGGTCCCTCAAAGTGCACTCCAATGACAGGCGAGATCGGCCTCTAACGAGGCCTAATCTCACTCGGCTGCAGATGTGGCGAATCTGGCGAATCTACAGCGTGCTAGCTGTGGCTATTTGTAACGTAAGCGGCTGGCACATGCAGATACGCACTTGTGCGCGATGTGAGACATTCAGACAACGATTTGCGGATGGAAGGCTGATGCTGGAAGAGTGCTGGGCGGAGGGCAGGACAACGACAACGTCAAATGACGAAGCTATTTCGGCATCTCGACATTAGCGCCTTGGCAAAGTCATCCGCAGGACCGCGGGCTGCAACTTGCGTTCGCTACCCAGCAGAACTTGCGACTGCAGCACCTGAGAGACCAACGACGTTGCGGCGACATAAGTACTTCAGTATCAACAAAGTCATTGGGCTTGCGTTTTGTCGGCTTACAAAGAATGTGCTACTGAGAAAACTAGGGATAGGAAACACCAAGATTACCCAAAAAGAAAGACTATTGAATGGGAAACATTGATCAGTCTACCTGCAAAGCATCATCGTTTCTCAAGCCTTGATCTCGCGCATACTCCTCATCGTCGTGACCATGTACGTCTGTAACGTACTTCTCAAACTCGTTGACAACGCGAACGGCTTGGTCTACATGCGTGTAGCGCAATGAGTCCTTTTTGTACCGCGCCAGCTGGCGAGCTGTGTTGATCGTGTTCCTAATCTGCCGGCCGTTCAGTTTGTGGCGGGCGAGAATGTCCAGCTTCTCTTTGATTTCTTCAGTGTTGATTTTCTCCCCACCTTCTGACAACGATCGAACAAAGTTTCTCCAGACTTCCCAGCGGCCTTTCTCGCTCAGCGGCGGATAGTGGAGCGCGAGCTGTATACGAGACTTGAATGCCTCATCGAAGGTACCGATGCGGTTTGTCGTTAAGATCAAGATGCCGTCGTAGTACTCTAGGACGCGCAAGAACACGGACACCAACGCGTTGCGTTGAAGATCCATCTTTGTTCTCTCCTCGAGAAACACGTCGGCTTCATCTAGTAGGACCACGCAGTCCCAGGTATTCCCGATGAACAAGGCCGCGTCGAGGTACTTTTCTACGCTTTCGGCATCTGTCCCGATATCGCCGCAAGTCACCCTATAAAGAGGACGATGAACGAGCTCGGCGATACTTTCTGCTGTGAGCGTCTTGCCAGTACCTGGCCCGCCATGAAGCAATATGATAAGCCCCTCGCCCTTTCCGTCCATGAAATCGGTCTTGATTTCGCGGCTCTTCTCAATGTGGACCGTGACTAACGCTTTCACCAGTTCCTTTTTGTCCTCCTGAAGGACTAGTCGATTCTCGAAGACCCCACTGTTCCATTTGATATCTTGTATATGTTCCACGAGTAGAGTATCTAGAGTAGTGGTCAGCATTCGTGCTTCCAAGTGATTCGGCAAACATACTCCATTTCTTGTTGTGGAAACCGTAACCCTTGATAGTCGCAGGTAGCATGAGTGTGAATGCGCCGCCAGGAGGTTCATCATTCTCTAACTCCTCACTACTGAGTTCGCTTTGGGTCATTGGGTCATTGTCATGGCCATGCATCAGCTTCCAAGCTTCTGCATCGACCATGTACCGCAGGTTAGCCTGGCTGTGTAAGCACAACTTATCGTCATCGAGATTTGAGTCTTACAAGCTGCGATCCAATTCCTTTCAATGGAATGCTGTAGTTCACGTACTTCCGTCGTCGGCAACTCCAGAAGGTATTGCCACGTTTCCGAAGTTCAGACTCGGTTCCTTCTACCGCGTGGCGGACAGGATATACTGAAAGGTCTGTGATTGCCACTTGACCGGATCTAGAGGGCCATTTGATGGGTATTGTGATGTGATTACGAAAGAATTTGCCATCGTACTCCCAAAACCAGCAATCCAGTTCCAGTGTATTTTGATCGAGCAAACGGCAAGATCGCACAGTAAAAGCGCGATATTGACCGTCTTCGATTGTGATCGCGACCTCATCTGGTCGAAACAGCATCGGCCAATGCTTTCGGGCTACCATCCCCGCAGCTGAAAGCTCTTCCAGCTTCTCATAATCCAAAGTCATGCGCTCGGTCACGTACTCGTACAACACCCTGAGATCTGCTTTTTGGTCTGTCTCTAGTAATGCCGTCGAAGGTCCAAGCCATACATGTTTGGAATGATAGAGTCGCGCATACGGATAGAGAAGATCCTTGTCCAAGTCCCACTCGCTAGACATGCCCGCGTTCTGGCCTTGGACCGCGTGTAAAGCTTTCTTGAGCGTTTCTGATAACTGTAGCCTTTCGCTAGTCGCATCTGCCATGGGCCCATCATTTTGGAGGACTCGAAAATAAGGCTTGATCTCCTTACTTATGTTGTGAGGCATTGAAGGCATTGAAAGACGTGTGAAGTCGTCTTTGATCTTCTCGTGGTAAGCTTCGCAGTCGTAGCTGACGGACACTACGATACTGAACCCGACGCACTCGTCCAAGTAGTTATCCAGATCTTGCAAGCGGTGTTGCCCATGCAAGGCTGTAGTCTGATGATCGGATGCGATCATAGCGGGCGTGTCGAGATAGTACGACCTCGGAGGGTGGTTGCCATGGTATTTCCGCGTGCGTGAGCAGTTTACACAATGTACAGTAAGTCTTTGCGCGATTTGACCTCCCGTTGACGGACGTGCACGCTTGCCGCCATCTTCGGACGGTCGTTGTGAGAAACCAGCGTCATGGGTTGCTGAAGGTTCGCCACGACTCCATGGGCGCTTTCCCTTCGCTGGAGCTTCTTTTTGGTACTGGTCTGACTTAAACATAGAAGTTGGTAGGAGCTGCTTTCCGTGATGGTAGAAGGAAGAGAGTAGCCGAGCTCAGCTTAAACATCCCACCTTCACCGGTCAACAGTGGCTTATGCGAAGGCTAAGCTCATCTAAGTAAAGCTCCGCTCAGGCACATGCAGCCTGAAATGACCTAAGACTTGATTTGCTCATTTCAACGGGTTCTCGCTACAGTTTGCGCAACAGTGTGAATCTACCACAAGGTATCTAATAAAGTCTTTAAATCCTCGTTTCGACTGCTGATATTGACAACATATGCTGTATGTCTAGTTATTATGACATTGGAATGATCCTCTTTAATAGACCCATTCAGCAGAGTTGCTTAATGATAGCAGGCGGATGCTAAATGTGTTCTGCTCTGCACATCTACTAAGAAAAGAGTGTGAGGGCTATCTAGCAGCCAAAATCTGGATGGGCACGTGGGAAGATCAGAATGTGGGTATCATGTGACCAAGGCGCAGTGAATATCTGGTGTAGGGTTGTTTAAATGGGTTTGAATGGCATTGGGTGTGCCAAAGGGCTGAAGGGCGTTGTACACATTTACTAAGCTTTCCAATATCTATGAATCTTCTATAGAATTGGGGTTGCACGACGCTGAGGTCTTGCGAGTTCCTGGCCAGACTGTCCAAGTCTAATGTAAAGTTGGTGGGTAGCCCTGTCATTGCGGTAGATATGACTGACGGGGTGGCGTAGGATCGTAATGCGCAAAACTAAATTTGATATGCGGCTCTGGTGGCAATGGAGGTCTGGGTGGTTTCGATACCGGCTTGAACCGGGTTCGTTCGTGTATTTTCTCATGACGCTTGAGATCGTTTAGTCTGGTGAAGGCTTTGCCGCATGTAGGACATTCGTGAGGTTGCTCCCCTCTATGAGACAACTCGTGATTTTTACGATGGAAATTTCGCGTGAAAGTCCTCCCACAGATTGAGCAAGCAATCAACGGTGCCACGTGCTTCTTCGCGTGTTCCTCAGCATGAAGCTCCGAAACATGCTTGTTTAGATCGTCCCTCTTCGTAAACAATTCCATGCCCGCGGCAGAATCGCCATATGCGCTTTTGAAGGTAAGACTGCTGGTACTGAGTCTTTCTTCGTGGGCCTTCCTGTTCATGTGTTCTGCTGAGGAGTATCTATGTGTGAGTTTTGTACTAGGCTGCTCCAAAGCTGATAAACATAATCTACGGCGCTTGGACGCGTTCATTGTGCAATCTTCTGAGATTGTGTACTTCGGTCTCTCGCGAGAAACTTTGTACGCTGAGCTAGATTCGCGATCACTCGCAGCTGTAGCGGAACTTAGGCTCGCTACAGTGTGGTCAATATTCTGCGGTGAAACGCTACGACGACTACGCTCGTCAATGTCATCCACCTGGGACATGTACGAGGATGTGTGACTAGGCGTTGTTCGTTGACGGTTAACCTTGGGATTTCGTGGTATGTTTGGTGGTGACGGAGGCCGCATCGGGTCGAGATACCGGCGCTTGTGATAATCGGATTGCTGTCTGAACTGAGATTCCGGAGCTGATTGACGGGTTGGTGGAAGGCTGGCTCCCCGGTCAGACGCGTTAGGTGTACGTAGCGGCCCTACAGTAGGGTGTGCCGTGGATGAGCCGGGCAGTGGAGAATTCTGCATCGTAGGTGACATCAACATCTGAGCTTCCAGACTGGTTTTTGGCTGTGAGCCAGTTCGTATGTAGGTCTGTGTGGGCCATTCGTTTTGTATCCCTTGATATGCTTCGGATACATCAAGGGTCCTATTGCGAATCCCGTTCCAACTTCCAATTCGCTTCGGTTTTTCTGTCCGTTGTTGTGGGGTCAGATCATCGCGATTTTTTCGACCATCGTACACCGGCTGCGCCTCGTTCCTCCCGATTCGCTCGCCAAATTTTGGTTGGGCCGCATCGCTGTCGTCGACATTCGCAGGATCGTAGAACCCAGTATCAGCAGCAATGTCGGTATATGTCCTTTCAAACTTGGGAACAGGCCGCCCATCTACTGTTGTCAGCAAAAATGGCGAATGTTTTAGCAAGCTAGGATCCTATCCTGCAGAGAGTCTTACTATCTTTAGGTGTCTTGAAGCTGATCTTATCGTGCGTAGTAGGAGATTCGTCACGGTAACTATATGCTGATTGCCTAGCTGAGTGCGCATAGTCTGGTGGATCATCGATATCATGCTTGAGTGCTTGTTTCGTCGATATATGAGCAGACACGGTGTCTTTGCGTTGACCTTCTTTTGACTTGAGATAGTCGCGCATAGCTGTTTGTCGGACGACTGTCATGAAGGGCTTTGATCTTGTATCAGAGATCTTAGCACCTGCACCCTCGGGTATAATTGGCGGCGTAGTTCGCATGTGTGGTCTCGGCTGCAGCGATCGCGAGGCTATTTGCCATCTCGGATCACGCACCCCGCTCATTGGGTCTCGACTCGTTCACTGGCCAGCGCAAGAGCTCAAGCGGTAGTTTGAGCTGAACGCGTTTGACGATCCTTGCTCTTGAACAGGCCTTGATTGTTTGACTTTGAGACCTTCCTCGAAGGAATTGCGGCGGAGCGGCTGTGGGGGCGTTAGCGCTGGTTGTATACGATGAGGTCACCTGTCCGACGACTTCTCGAGGCAACTGCGTTTGTGTAGTGAGAGGATAGCGATGAATGAGATTGGGGACTTGTTCGGGGCGGGGTGGCTTGGAAAGAAAATCGCTGATCATGGGAATGGATTGGTGTGCTATGACTGCATGTGTCGACGTGTGCGCAGCCCGCAGCCCGCAGCCTCTTCTCGGCACAGCCGCAGCCTTCTTACACAGCCCACCCTTTACAAGTTGCATAAGGGAAGGCTAGCCATGGCTCACATCGCTAGGTTCACAACCGTTCAGCAGCGGTCCATCCTTGGCTGTAGTAGTATTGTGAGTTCAACATGTCTGCGATGGTAGTGCGCGACCCGCATTCATCTTGGTATACACCCGCGCTGGGCCAGGAGTGGGTATACTCAGCCAATCACAAGAAGCGCACAGAAGGCTGAGCATTGTAGGAAGCGAAACATCGCGGCGGAAGCGTACCATGCGGCCATCGAGCATCTCAAGAACGAGCTTGGTATTTCCCTGGGAGATCTGGTGACGAACGGTCAGGGTGCATCTGTGAAGGATGTACTCAGTGTGGTGGAGACAGCCAAGAGAAAATACGACGAGAAGTCTAAAGAGCATACCGGAATGCGCCGATCTCTGGAAAAGATATCTTTGCGCATTATGCATTATAGCAAAGTCCTGGACACCCTAGCGCAACACCACCCTGAATACGTCGCTCTAGCTTGGGGCGCTGTGAAGCTTGTTCTCACTGTATGTAACAACTCTCGACCGGGAAGTCTTCCAGCTACAGGACACTGACGTACGATGTGAAAGGGTATCATCAACCGCGCCAATCTTGTCCAAAAGTTGTCACAAGCTCTCGTTGCCGTCGCAAACGTCTTGCCGCGGATGGACCTTAGCGCGGAGTTGTATCGAACCGGAGATATGGAGGCCGCACTCTCACGGGTCTACGCACACATCATACTATTCTTTCATCTCTGCGTTCAATGGTACAACCGGAGTCCGCTCGGTCGGCTTTGGTCTTCCATCACATCGCCCTTTGAGCTCGATTACCAAGAGCTTGTTGAGCAGATCCAGTTGTCTTCGAAAGCGGTGGATGACCTCGCCAATGCTGGGTCTCGGGCTGAAGTTCGAGACATCCATATTCTCACAGAGCTGCAAAATCAGCAGATTCGGGGGGTTGACATGAAGCTCCTCGAGATGCTGCAAAGACAGAGGAATTTCGAAGCGCATATGATCCAACTGCTGTACAAAGCAGATTTGCAGAGGAGCATTACAGACCGGATAGACAACGGCGTCTGCAGCATGAGCAAGACAGTATATCGTATTGAGTTCAACGGAGTGATGCAATTCTTCGAACCGAAGGTATTGCCCGAGATGGCCCTGCTCAAAGTGCAATCACTCGTGCGTCGGGACACAACACCAAGCTTGCCTAGCCCTAACGAACAGAGAGTGCGCAGGACCATCCTGAATTGGGCTTTTGGGAAGAGGTCGTCGCTTCTCGTCGTTCAAGTCGGCATTCGTGCGCAGAAGCAAGCGAAAGAGCTGGCAACGAATGTGATCCAGAGCATGAAGCTCGGAAGTCAACACGTGTTCTGGAATCTACCGTCGGGCCGCACGTCTTCAGACGCGCAATCCATCAAGGAGCTGTTCAGAGGCATCATCTTCCAGGTACTTCAAAACTCGGGTGATCTGTTCAGTAGCTGTGCCGAGCAGTTGAACCTCTCAAAGATTCACGCTACTCACACGGAGCGCGAATGGGTCGACCTTGTATGCCTCCTCTTCTCCAAATTACCGACAGCCTTCGTGATAATCGAGACCGAAGCACTTCAAAAGGCCTACCGACATGACCCGAGTTGGAGCGAACGGCTTCGGGAACATCTTCAGCTTATCGCTGATCGAAGCTCAGAAGCAGGGTGTGAGCTGAAACTCCTTGTCGTTCTGTATGGAAACTCTCATCGAGGCGGTGCAGCTGCTTCAAACTCGAAATACGTCCGTGTCGCGACATTGCAGCCGCCAAATCCAGTGCCTCCACATCTGCGGCATGTAGCGCGTCGATCCGGTTTAGTAGCTAAGGGATGGAAGATGCAAAGGCCAAAAGGACGACTATAGCCGGATGTGATAGCCACTCAGTCAGAATAAAGAATTTGCAGTGTACTTGACGGCATGGGAGAACGGACAGACCCTCCGGGGCTGTCTGCAATCAAGGGGTGCACGTGACTTATCGATACGCACCTACCATCGCGCGAGCGCGACTGCCCATCATTTCGCGCCCGCATCATCACCTTCCCTCCCAACTTCATCAACCCAAAATCCATCACATCTCAATATCGACCCCACACTACCACGCGATCTATCTTCATACCATCACCAATAAACTACGTCACCACACAATGATGCTCACGACATCCTTCTTCTCACACCAAATGCCGCACTACTCCGCATACACGCCACCGCGCTCATCACCACTATCCGAGCGCTCCGCAAATGCAGCCCCACGAACTTTCGACTTCACTATGTCGTCACCTCTTAAAGAGAATTCGGCGATGCCACAACGCGCGTTCAAGGCCAATCCGGTGATGCAGACGCGCGACGCCACTACGAAGCGCAGGAGGGACATGTTCTTCAAGCGCGTACAGAACAACCGGGACGATAAGAAGTGGGAGTCACGGGGTGAACAGGTACGCGATGCAACCGTACATAGACGCGACTAGCAATGCTAATTGATGACGCAGATCCAACAACTAGACTTCGTGTCCGAGCGGAAGCGCTGGGAAGCCGAAAAAGCGCGTCAAGCACCCCAAGAGAATGACGACATCGATGAAGAGACTATGGACGACGCGCCGCTACCTGTACTCCCAACCCACGCGCCTCAATCGAATCCCGAGATGACCGAAGCCGACTACGTCGCCGCACAAGAAGAGTACGAGCTACAACAATTGATCGCGTCAATGGAGCAAGAATCGGATGCGCGGTCACAGCATTACGGTAGTGATGATGACGACTATGATTCCATTTTCATGGAGTGCGCTACAGCGGGGCACGATCAGTATCAGCAGCAACCACAACGCGCGCAAGACGCGTTCGAAGGGGACGCGATGGATATGGACATGATGGATTGCTGAAAAACTATTTGAATTCGGAGACTATCGAGATTGACCAGAGATCGCCCCAAAGAAGGCGACTTGGTGGCGACATCATAGGGACTCTACACATGTTGTAAGACGGGAATTTGGCATCTCAGTATAATAGATTGCTTGGGGGAAGGCATCACATGTACATTGGGTATCTGGAAGAATGAAGCAGACGAGTTATCGCACAAGGGGATCACTGAGTCGGGCAGCCCTGATCCATATCCTGAAGCGCCTCCTGCGCGGCGTTCATATCACCCACCAGATCGGGCGGTGGAGAACCAGCGGCTTGCATCTACATTAATATTAGCACCTGTCGCATCACGCATCAGACAGCAATCACATACCTTCTGCATCCTCTCCACAATATACTCCCTGTCCTGCGCGTTGTCGTCACTGTATCCTTTCCTCTCAAACCTGCCCACAATCTCTCTAACCAGCGTCTGCTGCTCTTCATACCTCTTCAAGTCGTCTTTCTCACACTTCCCTCTGTTCTTGTCCATCCACGCCGGGAACTTGTCGTCTAGCTCCTTCATCGGCTCGTACAGGATATCCTTGTTGGTAAGCTGCTCCATCATGCCCATGAGCACTTTGCTGAAGTCCTCGTCGCCACCCTCGCCCGCACCACCGAAACCACCCGATTCCATAGACGCGAGCATCTGCGCGAGGATGTCGTCTTGGGAAGAAGATGCGGCGGCGGAGGTTGCGGTATCGGAGGAGGACTGCATGCGCTCCATAGTCTTCTTGATAGTTTCCTGGAACGTCTTCTCTGCCTTTGCAGCAGTCGCCTTCTCAGACGGACCAGACGCCGCTTTCTCCTTCGCCGCGCCCGCACCCTCACCCGCATGCGCATGTTCATGCCCAAGCGCAGGATCTTCCAACGGATTCGCGCCCCCCATCTCCGCACTCATCTCCTTCATAATCTCGTCGAACTGTTTCTGGAAGTCGCCCTGACCAAGAAGCTGCTCCATCTCCTTCTGCAGTTGTGCCTGAAACGCATCTTGGTCTTCCATCATGAGTTCCGCGGGGGAGATGTCCGAGGCTGGCCTGCCGGGTCCGGAAAACGACGGCGCATCGCTGGTCTTGGGGTAGGCTGCTTCTATGGACGAGGCGGTGGGGGCTTTGGCGTCGAGCTTCGTGTTTGCGAATTCGTCGAGGACATCGTCGAGATCGGAGAGGTCGTCTTCTTCGGGGTCGGAGGCTACTTCGGTGGGGGGAGGGGCAGTGGTTGTGGGTGTGGGCTTCGCGGGCTGCTGCTCTTCTTTCTTCACGGCTGTGTCCGCCATCTTAGTGTAGTGTAGTCTCACTCCGAGATACAGGTAAGGTTGTGTAGGGTCCAAGAAACAGAGATAGGAACGGGTAAAGAAGATCGTAGCTACCTAGACCAGACACATGCCATGTCAGCCTCGGCCCGCTCATAGGTATTGGATCACATAAGCGGGGCAGGCACCGGCGCCAAGCCCTAGCGCGGGGCAGATCGCGCATCGCACCTTCCACCTTCGCGCGACGGGATCTAGCCCCGAATCCCAACGCTGCGGCGCCCGATAATTGTTGTTCAGGTCACGTGCAACCGTAACTCGACTTCACCTGGTCCTCTTACCGTCTGCATTCCTCACCTTTACCGCAATCGTAGCACGTTAACAAGCGCGACGCCACACGCTCAAGTTCGCGATATATAAGACGCCGTCTTTGCAGTTTTCTCGCTATCTTTACCGCACGCTCTGCCGGTATCTCAGCACCGAAATCCAGAGGACAAGCTAGAGGCGCAACGGCCAGCCTTGTACCTACACCGACACCATGTCTCTTTGCGTCAACCGGCTCTCGGAAGAGAGGTACGTGCTTCCACTCCCCAGCGCACATGATCTTCGCTAACGCAGCAGCCAGAAAGTCATGGCGACGAGACCACCCCTTCGGCTTCTTCGCAAAGCCCATGCGCGGCTCCAACGGCATGATGGACCTGAAGCGGTGGGAATGCGGCGTACCAGGAAAAGAAAAGACGATATGGGAAGGCGGTCTATTCAAGCTCGAAGTCGCATTCCCAGATGAGTACCCAACAAAGCCGCCGAAGTGTACGTCCCCACACATCTCTCAGCCCATACCCATTCCTCCTCCGCCAAACTCCCAAACCCATCTGCCTAACAGCAGCTAAACCGCTCACAGGCAAATTCGTACCCCCCCTCTTCCACCCAAACGTCTACCCCTCCGGCACCGTCTGCCTCAGCATCCTCAACGAAGAAGAAGGCTGGAAGCCCGCTATCAACATCAAAGAGATCCTGCTGGGCATCCAATCCCTGCTCGACGAGCCGAACCCAGAGAGCCCAGCACAAGCCGACGCGTTCAACCTGTTCAAAAAGGACAAGGCGGCGTATGAGCGCAAGGTCAAGCAGATTGTCAAGGAGAACCCGGCGCCGTAGTACGTTGTCAGAGCGCCAGGGGAAAGGCTACATATTGTCAGAGATGAGATAAGAAGAGAAGTAGTGTACCGTGGGGTGAAGATGCCTTTTGGTTATATGTGACTAAGGGTTCGTGAGGGCCGTTATGTGGGTTGGGTACGGGATGGTGTGGTCAGGCCTTGATGAGCTGTTATGCAGTGATCCAGCTGTCTTCCACTCGGCTGCGGCGGATACTGCTCAGACGAGGTGGATGTGCTCTTGCATTTTCTTTCTTTCTTTGCCTTGACTTCTTGGTTGAGGCGCGCTTGGTATGGAAACGTCCTTTTGATGAGAAACGGATCCTGGCGTTTGGGCGAGGTTCCCAAGCATTGTATGGGTGCTTAGATGGTGGGAGAAAGCCGCATGTGGCTATGATACCTGACTTTCTTCTCAGTCTCCTGGCATATCGCGCATGGAGTAATATACAAGATTGATTCATCTTTGTCGTATTCCAACTTGATATTTCATGTGATCGGCTATACGAAGCCATGATAGTTGTGAATACACTCAGTATGATGCGTGGATCCCGCCGAAGCAACAAACACATGAGATGAAGGGCTGCACGCAACGAAGCAAAGAAACATATATTAAACCCATCCGGTCCCTCAGAAAACCCGGTTGATAAGAAGTCTAGCAGCCCTTTCGCCGCATCCTCACGACATATGTCCAACAATCATCCCTAATAGTACAAGCCTCGGATCTTACAGATAGTCACCGCGACTCCCCAATCCAATTTTGTGTCCTTTGTTTCCTTTGTTTCACCCTTGCCTCGAGAACCCCAATATAGCAATACAGAAACGGCGACCTAGGTCTGGTGGTATAGCGCGTGCCGGTGTCGTCGTGTTACACCCTTAGTATGGGCGGTATGCCGATCCGCCTCTTCCGCCACGGTATCCACCACGGTAACCGCCTCCTCGTGGAGCGCCGCCGCCGCCGCCGTAGCCGCCACCGTAGCCACCACGGCCGCCGTATGGTGAGCCGCGTCCGCCGTATCCGCCTCGAGGACCGCCTCGGCCGCCGCGTCCGCCTCGTGTCATACCGGGGAGGTTCGTTCGCTTGGGGACGACCTGGAAATATGTCAGTTTGCGTTCGCGCATTCCGTGGGATGTGTTATGTATCTCATACCTTTAGATTCCGGCTGCGGAACTGGCTGTTGTCAAGGACCAAAGCCTCATTGACCAGATGCGGTTCTGTGAACTCCACATACGCATACCTGCATACGCTCATTAGCGTTCCGATCTTTCTGCCAAACTCTTGCCAGGTAGCGAAAGATACTTTCGCCCAACTGTAACTCCAACAACATGTACGCGACTGTACGCGCGCATAATTGTCGATGTATGAAAGCAAATAATAAAAACTTGGAA